TAGAAATTTAAGCTTGCCTAAAAGGCTTTTCCTTGAGATGATATACTTCAGCAAAAAGTAGAAGCTGTCAGCTTGCTTTATTTCACTAGAAAAGAATACAAATTCACTCAAGCCAATAATTGTAAGAGGGTTGTTAGCATTCTTCAATAAGGAACTTCAAGGACCAGACATGGTGGTGCATCCCTGTAATCATAGTACTCGGGAGGCTGAGGCAGGATGATCACGAATTTCAGGCCAGGCTGAGCTATGTAGCAAGACCCTGTCTCAAAAAACAAAGAACCCAAAGACAGAGAGGGAGAGGGAGAAGAAGAGAGGGAGGAGGAGAGAGGGAGGGAGGGAAGGACGGAGGGAGGGACAGAAAGAAAAGAAAGAAAGGAAAACAACTAAAAATTTCTAACTGGAAATTAAAGGCAGGCTTATAAGCTCCATTTTCCTAAAATGAGAATATTAATATTACTCTTTCTATGTTTATGTTAATTATATTTTACTAACTCCTAGAAATTCTAAATTGTACCATTTTGATACTAGCCTTTATGCTATGTAAGAGTTGTACAGAATTGGGCTTTCTTAACCTGGGGTAGAGGTCACGACCCCTTTGAGATAATATAAGCTAGGCATACATATGAGTGCTGAACACAGCACTCAAAGTGTCAGATTTTTAAAAACAAACCAGATTTTGGAGCATTTTGATTTTAGTTTTTCAGATTAGGGATGCTCAACATCTATCAGTAAAAATCCTGACAGTCTCAAGATACTTGACACAAAAAATTATCCTAACACGAAATGGATACGGAAGACAAGGGTAACAGGGAACAAAGAAACCTTGGCATGGAAGGAGAAAAATGCTATTTACTAAGCACAAAGTATTTGCTAGGTGCAATACTAAACTATCACACACAGTATTTATTCAACCTTTGTAGGTACATCAGAAAGGCACTGTTACCCTTATTTTACATATAAGGAAACCAGAACTCAGAGAATTCCAGTACTCTTCCCCAAATTGTACATAGCTAGAAAACAGTAGATCGGATTTAAACCAAATCTACTGACTCTATAGGTCATGCATTTTCCACATTCACATTCAAATTATTAAGCCTACACAGAGCCAATTATACTCTGCTCAGATGACATATACAATTTTGCCTAAATATTTCTTTTAAGAATCCTACTAAAATGACATAGATGGTAAGATTTTTTTTTTTGAACATTAGGGCTTCCTTTGTCAAACAATGGTAGTCTGATTTGACTCTGAGGAAACTTGCTACACTTTTAAAAACGGGGAAACTTAGAGGACTCAGGAGAAGGAACTTAACATAGAAATAGACTTAAAAAACAAAATCTGCTATGTTGTCTGTTTAGATGAAGGTTTCCAGGAGAAAGAACACATACTGGTTTAGTGTGAATCACTCTATTCAGAATTCCATGGTTCATATGAATACCCAACAACTTGATGAGGTCACACTGGTTAACCAACACAACATACCTTCCAATTTACAGTATTAAGAAAAAGGCTGTCTTAAAAGCTTAAGCTGTCTCATTTTAAAAGTAACAAACCCCGAATAAAGTTGAAGCTAATTTTTAAAACAACCTACCTCAAACTAGGGTCTGAACTGCCTAAATTAAGTAACGCAATATTGAGCAGTGTCCCAGGAACATCTTTTGGTCGAATCTTGGTGTGCTGGGGGATGGAGTCAGGCTGCGACAGTTCCCAACGGGTCCGGATATGAATGATAGACTGGACAATGGCTTCACACTCCTGGTGCATGAAGGTGAGTGGTGTGCCCTGGTTTGCAATGGTTAAGGTGAACTGGTTTTCATCCACCAGGCAGATCTCTTCAATTTCCGAGGCATAATAGATATCATTTAGAAAAACTGATTGCCCCAGTACTTTTGTTCTCTCTGCTGAGGTTACTTGAACAGCAGTAGAACCAACCTGGAAAGTAGTAATGAAAGGGTGGAGTGAAGAAGAATTAAATTCTATTATGTGGAATTCTAAGAGGCTTCAAAAAACCAACCAACCAACCCACCACCCACACACCATGTTTGTCATTTAAGGAGTTACTACCATTATATATTCAAATAGCTTCAGTAATTATTTTGACAAATGCTCTCAAAAGAAACTGAAAACATCAGAAAGTTTTATTTTGCTTTGAAAAGAGTTCAAGAATCCTATAGACAAGTACTGGTTGTACTCTCAAGATTTATGCTCTTTCCTCTGCAAAAATCATGTACTGATCTGAAGAACCTCACTAAGCAATTTCTACTCACCACACATTCCTACTGTAGGATGACAGAGAGCAAATTGCCCTTTCTATGGCATTCTTCTGCCTCCAACCTAACCTACATTACCATTAAGTATACACTTCTCACACCTTCTTCCAGGACCTCAATAAAGACAGAAATTTTGGTCGCCCACATATGCACTTACTTGAAATTTGATATACAAATGTGAGGACACTTAAGGAGGCCAGGATATAATCCTGGTTAGTCAAGAAAGGCAATGAATCACTGAAAAACAAAACAAAAGATACACACACACAAAAGAAAATTTACCTTAATAGAAACTTTGGTGTCCTTGTGAGCTAGTTTGAGAGCATTATGGAATACCTTCAGGTCCTCTTCCAAGGCCAAGGTGGCAGCAGGTAGTTTCTGTTGTTCATGCTCTATGTGCTCTGCCAGTTTCCCAGGACAGTCAATGAAAATGAGCCTTTTGCTGCCTTTGAGGCCAGTAAGCAGCCGCTCATGATACTTGGTGTACTCCCTAACCCAGGAATTACAGTTATAGATATAGACGGCAGAGACATTGTCATAGGCAAAGCCGGGAAAAACAACAAACCACTTGGAGAGAAAGTCTGTTTTAAAGCGATTGCTAGGCCCAGTGTGGGTAAGGTCCACAACAATTTCATATGGCTTTGCATAATATGGCTTTAAAGTCAGCAATACATGATATATCAACAAATCGCCATTGATTTGACCAGTTTTGAACCTAAGAAAGATGACAAAAAAGGAAAAAGCTTGTTAACAGAGCTCTGAATAAATATGTAGAATATAAATCTATTTTCTTTATTTGATCAGTTTTCTAGAGAAGACAATAATAATATGAAACAAATATTTAAAGTAAGGTGTTGGCTCAAGAGGTTAGAGCTCCTGCTTCATAAGCGTGCAGTCTTAAGTTCAAACCCCAGTCCCACCAAAGCAAACAAATAAACAAAACCTTTTTATAAAGTCTGTTTCATGCTTTAAATCAGTTGTTCTCCAAACACTGAGAAATATAGCTACAGTAAAAGGGAAGAGACAGATCTCCAGTTCAAAAGATTTAAGCAACAATAAGAAGAAATTTGCTCATCAGTCAAGAAAGCAGGAAGGGAGTGGGCACTAGCTAATTGCCCTGGGACCCACCCAAGGTTCTCAGGTAAACAGCTTAGACAGAAAATTCACACCTGACCTCATGTGATAGGATACAGTCAAAGTGCAGGCACACAAAAAAGACAGTATAAAATTACCTTCAGGCTATGTGTGCAAGGTTATATATGAAATATAAATGAATTTCATGTTAAGTCTTGAGGTCCCAACCCTCCCTCCCCCAAATCTCAGTGTGTATATGTAAATATCCCAAAATCTGAAATCCCGAACACTCCTGGTCCCAAGTAGTTTGGACAAGGGATACTCAACCTTTATAATGTGGTATTTATCACCTATACAGGAACTGCAGAGAAAAATACTGCGCTGAATTTAAAGAGGGAGAGATCAGAGGAAGGATTAGGCAGCCTTCATGGACAGAGGTAGAGTGGAAAAAGACAAGTAACTAGATGTACTGAAGAAATAGCTAATTTAGCTGGTATGGAGGATCCACGTAGGGAATTTTAAGAGATGTGGCTGGGAAAAAAATGGTCAAATTATGAAAGGAGCATAAATGCTCAACTAGAGGGCTTACGGCTCTTCCTAAGGGTTGAGCATTTCTCAAAGTATGTTCTGTGGACCACTAGCACCAGAACTGTGGTGCTTGGTAAAAATGCAATTTCCTTCCTCTTTCAGGTCTACTAAACATGAATTTATTTAGGGAGCCTGGCATTTTTCTTATTTTTAAGCAATCTTTTCATCTGATGTTTATATGTACAAACATTTCTGAATCACTGCTAAAAATATCAGGAAGTTATTCAGCATTTTTTAAATTAAGAAATATAACCAAAGAAAGTGTTATATATAAGATAAATAAAGGAGTTGGAGCTAGTAAAAAGGATAGTGTAGTAGTCTAGGTATGGCCTAGTAAAGGCCTATTAAAATACTATGGTGACAGTAAAAGTAGGAATGAAGAAATGAAGACTACAAAGAAAGGACCAACATGATCCAAAGTCTGACGAGGGCTGAAAGAAAAAACATGAGTGAAAAGGACCTGTCATGTATCAAGCCTCTATCTAGGACTACAAAGAACATTATCATGAACAAAACCACAGAGATCACAAGGGACAGCAATTTTTAGAGAGAAAATGAAGCCCATTTTAGATATAAAATCTGAGGCGGTGACAGGACATATGAATAGAGTGTATATGCTGTATCACACAAAAGCATTTTCTGTCCTGTATAATCTAAGTTTCACAAATATTTCCTCAAATTGTTGTAGTTCCACAATTTGAAACATCAGTTAAATGTATCTTTATTTCTATTACCTGCCAAATACCCCAAGGACTCTGTACTCACATTTTCAAATCAGTCTGTGGCACGCAAATAAAAATTTTAGAGATGATTTTAATGCTACATTGAAGATGCCATTTAATAACTGTTACTGAGTAATACTTATACATCATCTCTCAGAAGCACATAGCAGGCATATATAATGAGCACAAGGTCAAAAGGCAAATGGAAACCCTCCCTCCTCTGGAGGCGGGGATTTTTCTACAAAGCCTTCTGTCATCCCAGTGGCCAAGGAGACAAGTAGGAGTTTTTGCTTTTTTTTTTTCCCTTGTGACATGTGCTTGAGTTGCAGCAGAAAGGAAATGTGTCATCTGTGGTTTGGTTTTAAAAGTGGAAAGCTTGCCGTACACATTCTTTTTTAACTGCAGATTTACTTTAGGTTTCATAGTCTCTAAATCTATTCTACTTTAAAGAAGAAAAGAAGTCATTTATTAAAATCACATTATAATCAGATTTTGACCAAGCATTTTGTAAGGTAGGTCATATATATGGCTTTTCTTATTCCTTTTCACTTGTAACTTTGTTCAGATAAGTGTTCAAGGAAGTGCTTTCAAAGAGTATAAGAATCTCACTAACAAAGTAGAATCATAAGCAACTGAAAATGTATGCTTTTTTTCCTGTCCTATTATGTAAAATTATGTAAGTAATATAAGCAGTTAGAATCAAAAAGATGTACAATCGTTAACACAGAGTTTTAAATCAGGATTAGGAAGGATCTGTGTTTGGACTCTACAAAAGCCTTGTTATTTTTTAAAAAATACATTTCTCATTGCTAATGCTTAGGCATTATAAATTTTATCGAAAATGTCCAGAGATTAAAAAAAAACCAAAAACTTTTACTCACACAACCTAGCCTCTGGGCATAAATTAGAGAAGTAGAAACAGTCCTGAGTTCTGAGGCATTTGTAAGGGAAAGAGAAAGTGTCACTTTGTCATCAGCTTGTTTATTTGGCAAGGCAGTACATCTGGCTGAAGACAATCGACAGCGGGCCTATTATCTGCTTCGTGGTAAGCACTGCTAAAATGTGTAGGAATGCTGTGATGTATACTACACTGCTAATGAACTAATGTAACAAGAATAACCCACTTGCAATCATCTTAGCAGCTAATGCACAAGTCCAATCTAGTATAAAAAGTATGGAAAAATTACTTGCTACCTCAGTTCAAAATATTTTTCACAAAAGAATCATAAAGTATCCAAAGATTTCCATTCTTTAACTTAAAAACTGAAGCTGAATATTATTATACAAAAGTCAATGTGGCTGGGTGCCAGTGGCTCAAACCTGTAATCCTACCTACTCAGGAGGCAGAGATCAGGAGGATTGCAATTCAAAGCTAGCCTGGGCAAATAATTTGTGAGATCCTATCTCAGAAAAAGCCCCTCACAAAAAAGGACTGGTGGAGTGGCTCAAGGTATAGGTCCTGAGTTCAAATCCCATTGCCGCAAAAAAAAAAAAAAGTCAATATCCTGTATCTTGAACTGTCTACTAAGGGTCATAATCCAAAAAAAAAATTTTTTTTTTTTTTTTGCCTGTCACCCCAGCTACATGGTAAGTGTAAACAGGAGGATCACAGTATAGGCTGGCCTGAGCATACATTTGAGACCCTATTTGAAAAATAACTATAACAGAAAGGTAGGGGAAGTGCTCAAGTGGTAGAGTACCTGCCTAGCAAGCACGAGGCTCTGAGTTCCAACCCCAGTACCACTAAGAAAAAAAAATATAGAACAGTACCCATCCCTTTTTTATACCAGCTTCTAGGAAGCTCTGACTCCAAATTGAATATCAAACTTTTTTTTTTTTTTGATGCTGGGGATTGAATCCAGGTCTTGCACATGCTAAGCACATATTTTATCACTGAACTACACTCCCAGTTACTGAATTTCACCTTTTTCAATTTTATGTTGAGACCCTTACGATCTTCCACTTCATTCTCAATCACCAAGATCCTGATGATTTATTTCTTCCTATATTATTGTGCAATTTCTTTTTAGACACATAAAAATGCTAGTTACAAAATAATTTAAAATGTCAACTTTTATTGAACTTCTGAGAAGTTTAGAAAAAATTTATTTTTCTATATTACGGCAGATTTAGGTTGAGTAGGTAGATTTAGGCAGTGGGGGAGGCATAGCTCAAGTAAGTGGTAGAGCCCTTGCCTAGCAGATTTGGTTTTTGGCAGAACTGGGATTTGAACTCAGGGCCTACACCTTGAGCCACTCCACCAGCCCCTGTTTTTGTGACAGGTATTTTCAAGTTAGGGTCTTGAGAACTATTTGTCCAGACTGGCTTTGAACCACAATCCTCCTGATCTCTGCCTCCTGAGTACCGAGGACTATAGGCGTAGGCCAACGGCGCTTAGCAGATTTTTAGGCTGAAAAAACAAGCATGCCTTTGCTTTTCATAAAATCACAGTATTAGAGGAAATACAAGTGAAAATGGAGAACTATCACAATAAAACTGCTTTCACAAATACAAATACTGGGAATATATTTTTAAGTGCTGCTTTAAGTGGCAAGAAAAGGTTGGCAGGGGTTGGGGAGAGGAGGAGGAGGAGAGAAAAAAAAAAACAGCAACAGCTTGAATTCTTATTTGAAGTCTATTTTCAGAACACCTTGAATTCTTCTTTGAAATTCATTCTTTTTTTTTCCTACCAATTTTCACTCTTCTCATCCCCCACCAAAAAAGCCACTTGCCTTTTCTTTTTGCACATGAAGCAAACTTTCAAGGTCATATTCTCCTTTACTACAAAGATTGGTGACATGTCAATTAACAGTGGCTGAGTTTCAGCAAGAAAGATCCTTTCATGTTTTTTTGTAAAAAAAAAAAAAAAACAAAATACCCAAAATGAGGAATCAAAACAGTAAAAGCAGAAATATTTGACTCAAAGCTTAAGTCTATCATGCTCAAAAGGGAGTAAAATATATAGCCATGACAACTCAATTTAAAATGACAGATATATGTAGTTCTAACTTATAGCATCTAGACCATGTAATAGAAATTAAAATGCTTCTTTGTGCATAATCTAAGAATAGGGAAAAAAATTCAGTTGAGAAGTAATTCAATAGCAAATGTTAGGCATGAGTTTACAGTTTACTTGTAACATGTCAACTGTCTTTGAACTACAATTACCAAAACCAGGAGCTGTTATTCTTTCACAAATTAACAACTGATATTGCTGTCCCAACAGATTGCCAATAAATTCATGGACATGGAACACACAGGACAGTACCTGCATCTTATCTTTCTGTTAATAGCAGCTTTTTCCTTATCACCTGGAGCAAAAGCCAGCTATGCACATCTGTGGACTAAGGATACTACTGCTTGGGATTCAGTTATTCAAAACAGTACAGGAACACACCAAAATGAAAACATTAATACAAACTCTGTTATTCCTCAAGTGGATTACAAAGCTAATTCTACAAACATGCCTGAAATAGCAACTTCATCTCATACAGTATCTGAACGGGAGCTCTACACGCCTTCTATTGTCAGGAACAATACTCCAACAACAGAAAGCATTGAAAACACAAGCAAAAGTCATGGTGAAATTTTTAAAAAGGATGTCTGTGAGGAAAACAACAGTAACATGGCTATGCTAATTTGCTTAATTATAATTGCTGTGCTTTTTCTTATTTGTACCCTTCTATTTCTATCAACTGTGGTTCTGGCAAACAAAGTCTCATCTCTCAGACGATCAAAACAAGTAGGCAAGCGCCAACCTAGAAGCAATGGTGACTTTCTGGCAAGCAGTGGGCTCTGGCCAGCTGAATCAGATACTTGGAAAAGGGCAAAACAGCTCACAGGGCCCAGCCTCATGATGCAATCTGCTGGAGTGCTCACAGCTACAAGGGAAAGGCAGGCTGAAGAAGGAACTGAAAAACTTACTAACTAACAGATGCTTTAGGGAAGGAAAATGCAAAGTAGCATTGAGAAAGGTTACAGAGTAAAAAATGAAGTTGGTTTGGTATTTAATCTGATCAAAGTGTTGGTCAGATTATCTAAAATTTGACATGTAATTTATTATCAAATAGATCAGAAAGGGAGATGTATGTATGCCTGCTTAATTACTTAAACTGTGTACTTCTGCTTGACGCTGAATATTTTAAAAAGCAAACAAAAACAAAACAAAAAAACCCAACCAACTGGGGAAGGGTTTAATGCTAAGCTGAGGAACTGACTAACAGAGGTAGAGCAAGGAAAGTAAATATTCCCTATTTAGCAATAGTAGTTAGATGATTTTTATCTGAATGTAATTAAACTTTGAAGAATTTTAACATGTCCTTGGCGCCAAGAATATGCTCTGGTGTCTAAGAGGAGTCAAATTCCTAATGCATAGACTTGAACTATATAATATAATGGCACCTGTTTGCTAGATCTGGCATAATTCACACTAGTTCATGTATCAATGCAGATAATTTCAGGCTACGATCTGTCATTTTTGTACAAGGATATATAAGAAAGCGCTTTTCTACTATAAATATTAAATTAAAACTTAATTTTGTTTAATAAATTAAAACTCGTGAAAATAAAACTGACCATGTATATTTGCACTCACTTTATTGTCTTAGAACACACTGTAAAGGTAAGAAACACAGCACAACCAAAACAGATGAGATTCACAGCCACACCAGAAGGCTAAGCACAATCATAAAGTATGTTTTAAAATTTAAGAATAACATTAGTTTTCTGTATAAATACCGCTTTTTGGAGCACTAATGACAAATACCTTCTGGGTGTGATGATGTACACCTATAACTGCAGCACTCAGGAGGATGAGGTAGAAGGATCTGAGTTCAAGGCCAGCCTGGGCTGTATAGTGAGACTTTGTCTCAAACAATAGCAACAACAAAAATAACAAATACCCAAAGGTTAATTAATATTTTGACTTCAAGGATGCCAAGTGACTTTAAAAAATGACCAATTTTAGTTTTTACTGTCAAATGTGACATGAAAAGGAAAGGTGTGTGTTCAGTTTGGAAAACAGAAACAATTACCTGAAGTAGGTAATGGTCTAACCTTTGAAGAAACTGGCTTCAAGTCAAATAAGGACTTAATTCAAGTCAAGTCCTCCATCTCAAACACATTACAAAAAATGGTTTGGGAAGACTTTCCAAATACCTACTGAAACTGACAGAGGGCATACTAATTAAAGACTAAGGCTACATTTTAAAAAATGTCATTCCTTAATGAGTACTTATTCTATATAATATCTTAGCCATTTAAGAAAAGATTATGTATGTATTTTTCCAAGTATGGCCACAATCTTACTCTGCCTTCTTGATTAGTGATTCTCACCTTGTCTACATATCATGAAGAATTACAATAAAAACAAAAAAGCAGCACAAAGGCCTAATTCCTATACTCTGCTTCTGAGTTTCAGGCACTGGCAATTTTTACATAACTCCCTTGATGGTACTGCTTTGGCCATCAAATTCACTTTTTACAAGTTCAGTGACTCCAAACATATAGATTATATTGTCAGATGAGGTGGAAGACAGCACAGTTTCATTATCAATTTATTACCAGTACATAAGAAAATAAATCAATTCCCTAAACAATAAATCATAACCATATTATTCCAGATATTGCTAAAATGAAAAAGGAGAGAATACTCATGCCAATCCTGGCAATATGCAGGTGTAAAATGTCCCAGATTAGAAATGACCTCTGGGAAATGCTCCTACTTCATGCAAATTAAAAATTGGAGACTGGATACCAGAACTTATGGCAATAATACAAAGCCTTCCTTAAATAAAGTATCATAAATACTTGTCACAGGAAATTAAAACAAAATAGCATCTTTGTAAAAATGAGAAATTAACTAGGACATTATTTTCATATTCAACATAATGGTCAAACATTTTTTCACCAAACAGGAGACTTTTATGTACTTCAGGAATATTTAACATTTATCACTAACTATCTTGACTACTAACCAGCTGTCCTCAGAATGAACAAACAGAAAACACCTTTATTTTCTACCCATAAGCATTATAGCTTATCAACTTAATTCAGGGATTTTAAAATAGTGAATCAAAAGTTTTCTAAGAGCTGGGCATGGTGATACACACCTGTAATCCCAGAACTCAGGAGGCTGTCACAGGAGGATCAAGAGTTCAAAGCTAGTCTGGGCTACCATATAAGTTCCAAGTCAGCCTGCACTACAAAGTGAGAACCCTTTTCAAAAACAAACAAATAAAAAAGCTTTATAACATTCTTATTATATTCTGTTATTCTTTTTGTATCAAGTTATAACTACCTTAAAGTTAAGAACTAGGTCATATAATCTATGCCACCTGCAGTAACTGTGGGTTAATAGTTACTACATCCACCATACTATGAACTACACAAGGCACTTCACATTTACTTAATCACTTAATAAGTTTAGGAATTACGATCTCCATTTTTCAGATGAGGAAGAAGGTAGAGGGTAGCTTACCTAAAGAAATCTTCAGACACACTCATACTGTTTTCGATATACTTTACATAATTTCTTATTTGAAAAATTATTTGGGAGCTGGTGGCTCACGCCTATATTCCTAGCTACTCAGGAGGCAGAGAGCAGGCAGTTCGAAGCCAGTCTGGGCAAATAGTTTGCAACACCCTATCTCGAAAAGTCAACACAATAAAGGGTTGGTGGAGTTGACAGTTGGTAGAGCGCCTCCCTAGTAAGCATAAGGCCTTGAGTTCAAACCCCAAAATGATAAAAAAAAAAAAAAAAAAAAAGGAGTATCTGGGGCTGGGCATTTAGTATTTAGTTCAGTGGTAGAGCACCTGCCTATCATGCATGAGGACTTGGGCTTGATCCCCAGCACGGCAAAAAGAAGAGTATTTGACAAAAATAGTTTAGTTACACTTTTTTCTGGGCTTTGCCTATATAACAAATGAGGAAATAGCATTAACATTTACTGGTTATCTACTATGTGGGGGGCATTTATAGATATTATCTTACTTAATGCTCACAATAACCCAATGAAGGAACATTCCTTTAGGGGAGGAAGGTAACACAGAAGTGTGGTTTAAGGCCACACAAGTAACATCATTTACATCTCCCAACTGACAGTTTTTCCTTAGAATACTTAATTTTTAATTTAGGGCTCCACTCTAAATATTTAAATTATATAATTACATTACTAGAGAGCCTCAAATGTTTATTTACAAATATTAAAAGCATTCAAATCATATAGCTTCAAATTGTGCTTCAAAATAAGTTCTGTTAAAGTAGTACATTTCTTAGTCATTTTGTGGCTTATTGCGCTTCCTGTAACAGCTATTGATAAACTTCCTCTGTTCTACAGAAACCATTTCAGGGTGCTACAGGAACACTTTTAATCTGAATTGAATCACCTCTTTTGCTTTCTTAGCCAAATCAACAACATGTCCTGTCAGAACAACAATTTAGCGTTCTGCAAAAGAAGTTAGCAGGTAAGACAAATTTCACACCCAGGCCATTTGGTTTGATTTTTGCTTATATAAAATTTATTTTAAAACCCCAAATATCATTTGTGTTTTATACTTAAATTTAACTCTTGATCGTTTAAAGATGTCTATAACAGGTTTTTGTGGTTTTGCTGCATGGAGTTAAAAATATTCAATGTTGAGCTTGCCTTAGAGAAGGATTATCAACTAGGTTTTTATACTATAAGCCCTTTGAAGTTTATTCAATAAAAATATTCATTAATTTTACTCTTGTAATTAAAAGAAATAAACTATAGTCATGGCAGATAAAGCTAAGGGTTAAAAAAACCCTAGATTCTATGGTTTATGACTGAATTTATAACCTCCAAAATACTGTTCAAAATTCTAGGGGTTGGGGTGTATTATATATAGCATTTTCCTGATATTCCTGAGACCCTGGTTTGATCTCCAGCATCACAAAGAAAAAAAAAAAATCAAAGAAAAATAAATTGCTTTTTATAAAATTTTTTTATCCATAATATAATCTACAGATTTTTAAAAATTCCCTTTAGTTTCTATAGTAAGAATGGTTACCTTTACCTTCACTTAATTTAAAAAGAAGCAAAAAGAAATTAGATAATTATCATTGTTTTATTTTTATGCAAATAGAATTTTATGTTTAAGAATAATGACATAAAAACACAGTTCACTTTAAAAGCTCCCTGAGACAAAAATGTTATAAAATGTGTATGCATATATTCCCATTATCTACACATTCTTACCTGATCCCTTAGTAAAGAGTGTAAGATACAGGTAAAAAACAACCACAGAAAACAGTTACTATACATAAAAGATGTTCACTCTGTTAGTAAACTAGGCAATGAGAAAGTAAATTTATCTTCTAAAAAATTACAAAGAGTTTACACAGATCTGCAATTTCAAGGAATAATAAACTCATAGTGGGTTATAACCTTTTTTAATACTTAAGACTTTCTTTTATAGCAGTCCATTTTGGATTTCTTAAAAGTAATATAAGAAATAGTTTAAGAAATAGTTATATTTCTTTTTTTTTTTAAGAGTTGAAATGGAAACACGTTTTTTTTTTTTTATTTTTTAAATTTTTTTTCATTTTTCTTTTATTATTTATATGAGCATACAAGGCTTGGTTCATTTCTCCCCCCTGCCCCCACCCCCTCCCTTACCACCCACTCCGCCCCCTCCCTCTCCTCCCCCCCCCCCGCCTCAATACCCAGCAGAAACTATTTTGCCCTTAAGAAATAGTTATATTTCTTATAGAAGTTAGAGAATATGTTCTTTTTTAGATAAGACTTGCCTAAAAAAGGGTTCATTTCAAATTTAAAGTTTAACAGTGTTTATTTTCAACTAATTCCTATATAATCCTACTTAGAATTATCAATTCTGAATAAGTTTGAATTTGCTAAACATAAAATCTGGTAACTGTCAATGTTCAATCTTTAAAAAATAAAAAAAAAGAAATATCAAGGTTTTTCAGTAGACTTAGTAAATATGTCAGCTTACATGCTAACCATTCAAAACTCACTTAACTGTTCTCATAGAATTATAACATCATAAGCTTTCTTTTCCTATCCTTTAACATATCAGTTACCAGGCAGCTTTTACATCGCTTTGCTTTATAAAGCATTTCTATTTCATAATTTTTCTATGAAAGCAAGGATTCCGGTACAAGACTGACATGGTTGCTATATTCTATGTAAGTGCCACTAGTCAGAGCTGTGACACTTTGCTAAGTTACCCAACTTCTGTCTCAGTTTCCTTATCTGTTTGATGAAAATATGAACACTCAAGTCATTAAAATAGGATAGTGCCTAGCATTTATTGGATGGCCAGTAAATGGCAGCTATTATTATAAGTAAAATATGGTCATAAACTACTACTTACCATTGTTCAAAATCAGTTTCCCTTTCCGCTCTTCTTCAAAATATAGAATTGCTTTTTTCTTCTTTTGGTGGTTTCAAAACTTCACTAGTTGGAGATAATACTACTACTAAATTTTAACCTATTATATTTGTACTATAACTTTTATTATATCACAAATAACTGGACTACAGATAAAATTTTTGATACAGCTGTCTATATTTGGCCTTTTGCATAGGATATGTTCTCCAAATCTTACTGATTCCCTTTAAAGACAATGACATATTTCTTATCATATCCAACCTAACAACAATTTTACCTTTTTTTTTTTTTTCTTCTTCTTCTCAATGCTGGAGATTGAACTCAGGGCCTTAGGCATGATAGGCAAGTGTTCTACCACAGAACTCCATTCCTAACAGCATCCATGTTAAATTCTGGACCCTTTATAAACTTAAATATTATGTTTATGAATGAGAACCCCTGTTTCACTATAACTGTGTTTAAAATGCCTATTAGTTAAAATGGTTTACATTTTTTCCTCTTCTGTAAGAAATTTTAAATATTCAGGAAAAGCAAAGGATGAAAATCACAGATTTAAACTTCAAATGCCAGTAAGATACAATGAGTAAGGCATTAGTACATGAAGGATGACAAATCTGAGGTTTGCCTGATCAGAAGATTAAAGGATTTCTAGAGAAGTCCCACATAGACTGTATGTAAGTTCTTTGGAGGAGTTAGAGAGAAAGAGAGAAAGGAGGGGTGGTGAGGAGGAGGAGGGAGGGAGGGAGGAAGAAAGGGAAAAAGAGAGAGAGGAAGGGAAGATGGGAAAGAGGGAAGGAGAGGCTGGAATGAAATAGTGACTTAAAGAGTATGGCTCATTCACTGAAGCCTCCAGCTTGGACAGACAGCTCCTCTTTGCTAGTTCCCTGTACCCATAAACACAGGGCAGTGACAGGGAGTAGCATTTTATGGCTGTTTCTTACATTCATTTCAGTCTTCTCCCCTAACTTAATTTTACCCAGTTCAATCCTCTATAGTAACTTCTTGCTAATTACATGACTATTTATTAACTTTTCAGCTTTTCAATACCTTTTTGTAGTCAGTTGATCTTTCCATATATTTATTGCTTCCTATAAATTGCTTCATTTTTCTCATGTTATTTGTATTTCTTTGCATTCCCTTTTATCTTACTCTAAATTTTCATCTTTTCTATTTCCATATTAGTTTTTCCTACTACCTTGTTTCTGTGCAGAAACAATGTGTACTCCAGGTACATACTACTTACTTAAAAACATGTATGTTAAATAATTTTCTGCCCTGTTTTTTTTTCACTATTCTATCACAGCCCCCCCCCTTCTTTTTTTTTTTTTTTTTTTATGAGACTAGGGTTTAAACTCAAGGTTTCATGCTTGAAAAACAGGCACTCTGCTGCTTGAGCCATACCTCCAGGCCATTTTGCTCAGGTTATTTTGGAGGTGGGGGTCTCTCAAACTATTTACCTGGGCTGACCTTGAACCTGATTCTCCTGATCTCAGCCTCCCAAGCAGTGCTTAGCTTCCTGTAAGTCTTGATGTTTCTTTTTTGGACTATTCTGAATTGCTATAGTAAGATTCTAACAGATTCCAGTATTCTGATCCTAGGAGGGTAAACACCAAACTGAAGAGTGGGAGAAAGTGGCAGGATAGTTCAAAAATGGAATCTGGTTTTAACACTGCTGTAATCCTGAATTGACAAGTGAAAATCTCACGCTAAGGTTCCTGCTGAACCTTCCCAAACTGATCTTACAAATTAAACTGGGTTTACAATTGTTCCTGTTTGGGCTGTTTTCTCCTCTATTTCCCTTTTCAGTTAACTAAAAAGAGGAACCGTACAGTTTCTTTATTTTAAGCAAAGTCACAAAAGAGGAAATATGTTTGGCTGAAGACAATTCATAAGCTATATATTCTGTTGCTTTGGAAAGCATTTTCTAAAAACTTAAAAAGTAAAACTGAAGAATATTTTCTAACAAAGCCTTTTTTGGTAAGGTATAAAAATAGTGGGTTGGAACTACATGGGTGATGATTTAATTCCTGTATCTATGCCAGAAAGTTTCAAAATTTTCCCTTTTAAACATTTTGCAAAATGGATTTAAAAAACAAAACAAAACAGAATTTACTGAGCCAGGCGTGGTAGTACCTTCCTCTAATCCTAGCACTCAGATAGCTGAGGCAAGAGGATTGAAAATTCAAGGCCAGCTTGGGCTACAAAGCAAGTTCCAGGTCAGCCTGGGTTATACAGCAAGATCCTATCTCAGAAACAAAATAACAGCTGGGCACTGGTGGCTCATGACTGTAACCCTAACTGCTCAGGAGGCAAAGACCAGGAGGATCACAGTTTAAAGCCAGCCCAGGCAAACAGTTCCTGAGATCGTATCTTGTAAAAACCCTTCACAAAAATGGGCTGGTGTAGTGGCTCAAGGTGTAGGCTCTGAGTTCAAGCCCCAGTACTACACACACACACACACCCACCCCCACCCCCACCACTACCACTACAACAAAAAAACCAGAATTATCCAGAATTATTAGAATTACTGAGTTAGATTTTGCTTTTTCTGCTTATATTCTTTTAGAAGTTTTTGTTTTGTTTATTTTTGTTAGTACTGGGATTTGAATTTAGGGTCCTGGCTAGCTAGGCAAGTGCTCTTGCCTAGCCCCTAGCCCTTTCTGCTTTATTTATTTTTCAGATACAGTCTCAGGATAGTCTCAGACTGTGATCCTCCAAGCTCTGCTTCCCAAGTAGCTAAGATTACATGTTTGAGTTACCATGCTCTATATATTCTGCTAGAAGTCTTAACAAAAAGAAGAAAAAGTGAAATGGAAAGGAACCAAGTGGCCCAATATAGGGTAAATGTTTACTGAGCTCCTAATATAGAAGGTTTTTTTGCTGCAGAGGCATCAAAATGTAAAAACAAGAGGTAGTGTGGGTAGAAATAAGAATGTTGGCTCTGGTGTCTGATGATCCTTGGCACAAAATCTCAGGCTGTCACTAATTGTGATATAACATTGGGCACATAGCATAACTCATTTCAATTATCTATCTGTGTATCAAGGAGCTATTCCTCACAAAGCCATTTAAAGGTTACATGAAATAAAGTACATAAAACACCTGGGATGGTATGATACAAAAATATGTTCTAGATAAGTATTTTTCTTTATTTCTTTCTGCCTTCTTCCAAATTCTGTATTATCTTGTCTGAGGAGATGGGAATAATGAAAAGAAAATGTGAAAAGCCAAGTTAATAAAAAGTAAAATTATTTAAGAGGCTAGAAGTGAGTGAGGTACCATGAAGAATCATCTAAACAACTATACAGACAGTAAGAGTTGGGTAGATTTAGCAAATAGTTGATGTCTTGGGCTGTAATTAGTCACAGAGAGCTTGGTTCAAGAAGGAGAATTCAACTAAGGTCTGTAAGGTTCAGACAGGCAGTCTGAAGGAGGAAGAGAGTGGATTTGAGAGAAAAAAAAAAGAACACATTCTAAGAAGGTGAAAAAAACCCAGCATAATTAAAAATGTATAGGGAGAAAAATGTGTGTTTGAAAAGTATACAAGGAGGAAAACTCAGCTTAGTTTCATCTCAATAGTAATGGGAAACCTTCAAGCAAAGGAGTAGTAGCCAGATGATGTATGTTTTTAAGAATAATTTATCAGTAGTGGGTTGGAGAACTATTGTGAAGTTTAAATATAAAGGACTAGAGAGAAAATACAAAAGAAGAGAGACAACAAGGAAAATAACCATATATCTTTTTCTACTAAAATAGGGTCATTCTGGGCTAGGGGGTGGGGATTGATTCAAGTGGGAGAGCACTTGTTTATCAAGTACAAAGCCCTGAGTACAAATCCAAGTACCACTTTAAAAAAAAAAAGAAAAGAAAAGAAAAACCTTAAAATAGGGACATTTTGGTATAGGCCTGTAATTCCAGCACTGGGAGTCTGAAGCAAGCGGATCAAGAATTTGAGGCCAGCCTGGACAACATGGTGAGTTCAAGGCTAGCTTGGGCTACATAGCAAGACTGTCTCAAAAACCCAAAGTACCCCCTCCCCTCAAAAACCAAAAAACAAAAAAGGGGAAGGGGGCTCATTTGATCATCACTGTTCTATTAGCAGTAGAGGGGTAATAGTGAAAACTACTCAATATGGTGAAAAGTCTTATTTTCAGAACCTTTTACTGTACCTTGCAACAGAACATCAAATGTCTCTTAGATAAGCCTATGAATCATAGATAAACTGTAGTTTCTAATCATACACACCAGGATCTAACACTCTTAAGATTTCCCTTTCCCTAATGTTAAGAAATAACTGATATTTACCATTGTGTGTGGTGAAGTGCAAAGCAAGTATACTCAGTGCTAAAGTTGCACTTTAGAAATAAGGCAGTTGAGAACGAGAGAGATTAAGTGGCTGGTTCTCAGGATCAGATAGGTAGTCAGGTGGCAGAAGTAGAACCTAACTCTTAAAATTTTAGCATCTGCTACAGTTTTAGCCTTACCTGCCAAACTTCCACATGTCCCCTTTTTCCATGCCTATATGTTCTTCCTGGGTGGTTAGTTCTTACAGACCTTTTAAGATTCAGTTCCAGTTTAACTCTCTGGGAAATTGTCCCTAACTAGATTAGTTTCTCTATGCATCTCTTGAATATGTTTGTGAGGAAACATAAAAAATTATTGTAATAATTTCTTTCCTGTGTTTCTATTACAAGAATTTGGAACACTTGAAGGCAACAACTTTCTTTAAACCTAGAATAGAGCCTGACATAATGATGGTGCTGACATGAATGAAAGTAGCAGCAGGTTTGTGTGACCAGTGGATAAGACTGACTTGACCAGACTCAGAGGTCATTCTAGGATTTTGAGTCTAGGACTTTGAGTTGAACTAACTCCTTTAAAAATATGGGATCCTAAAACAAAAACAAAAACAAAAAAAAGAAAGAAAGAAAAAGAAAAAATGGGATCCTTACCATAAGGACATAGTGCTAGACACCACTTAAAATGCATCTCATTTTAAATGTGCCAAATTTACTGACAGTGGGATAGAGACATGGAGTATCCACTAAGAAGATATTATTAATGGGATTAGAACAAAGGAGATTTGGGTTGGACATGCAGGTTGTGGAGTTATACATAAAGGTGAGAACTGAAATTTTATAGAATCATCAAGAACAAAGAAAAGTAGATAAGGGTGAGGACTAGATATCAAGTAACTACATTTAGGAAGCAGGAGAAAAAGAGGAGCTAGTGAAAGTGACTTAAAAGGAAGGCTACATTACAAAGAACTACTCAAACATTAGTGAAGGAATAGTCAATATTGTCAAATGTGGTGAAGAGAGAAAAAAAGAGAAGAAAGTAAAAACAAAAGGATTAAGATAACAGATGGTCACTGGTGTTCTTCAACACAGCAGAATCAATTCATGTCTAGGAATAGAGTGACTAGCAGAGAGCACATGGACCCAGGATATTGAGCCTATGCACTTGAGAAATTTGATGAGAGATGGGGTAGAATGTGAGGAAGCTAGAGGGGCAGCATGGGTCCCTTACAGACCTTACAAAAGAATTAAGAGAGCTCACTACCCAAGAGGTTCAAATGCTGTATGATGAGTTAGAGTATATTTAAGAATTGTTAATAGTACCTACTGTGAGTGCCAAGTGTAATTAGAATAATAAATGGTAATCAGATGCCTACAAGCTTTATGCTAGGCATTGTAATGTAAAGTCAAATGTAACTTGACACCAAATGATACCTGTCTTTCTTTCTTTCTTTTTGCAGTACCGGGGTTTGATTGAATTCAGGGCCTCAAGCTTGTTAGGCAGGTGCTCTACCACTTGAGCCACTCCGCCTCTTTCTTTCTTTTATTGTAAAACCACTGATAAGGAGGAAACATTCTAAAATGGATCCCAAATATTTCATCATAATTTTGTTTTTTGAATACCTGAAAAATACATTTTTCTCAGAGACAGAGGCAATTATAACAGAAAAGCAGCCACAGTCTACTTTATTTACATCATCAGTACCAACTAATTCTCAAAACAGAACAGAGAATCCTTTGGGTCAACCAGTACAATTCAACACCATTTCTTCTGGACAACCAATATCATCTGCCAGAATCACTGATGAACAACCAACACCAGCTGTTTATGTTTCTTCTGGAAAACCAATAACCCACATTTCTTCTGGATCATCTGCCTATAACATCACCAGACAACCAATACCAATAGTCAATGCCTCTTTCCCACGAACAGCGCTACCTGTGTTCACCTCTGCCAGACAACTACCACCTTCTACTCATACTCCTATGAGACAAACACGACCACCACTTCTCTATACTTCCCCTAAACAACCACCATTACTTGTTCATAACTCTTCTGAAAGACCAGTACTACTGACGGTTCACAATCTATCCACACAGCCAACATCAACTGTTTATTTACCCAGGACTGTCAATTTATCTAGGATTACATCAGAATTCATCACAGAACCTACCAGTAGTGAAAGAATTCCACATAAAACCAATTATAATGCAACAGCTGCTATATTAATTGGTGTAATTCTGATTTCTATGTTGTTGGCTATATTTATGATCATACTATGGAAATGTTTGAAAAAACCAGTTTTAAATGATCAAAATTGGGCAGGAAGGTCTCCATTTGCTGATGGAGAAACTCCTGACATATGTATGGATAACATTAGAGAAAATGAAGTTCCCACAAAACGTACATCAATTGTTTCACTTATGACCTGGAAACCAAGTAAAAGCACACTTTTAGCAGATGATTTAGAAGTTAAGTTGTTTGAATCAAGTGAAAACATTGAAGATCCTAATAATCCCAAAAAAGAGAAAATAAAAGATCAAGTAAATGGTACATCAGAGGATAGTGCTGGTGGATCAACAATCGGTACAGCTGTTTCTTCTTCAGATGATGCAGATCTGCCTCTGCCACCTTCCCTTCTTGCTTTAGGACAGGAGAGTAACCAATCCGATCAACCCACAATGATAATTGTACCTCCTCTTCCTCATGATTCTGCCAATTTCCACCCATCTCTGGACAGTCTAAATCAAGCCTGTGAAGATCATAATTCTGAAATTAAACAGCCATTTCCACCACATTCTGACTCACTTAACTTGCCCCTGCCACCAGTAGATTTTATAAAAAATGAAGAAAATTTCAACAGTGAGATCCAATGTCAGGAGTTCCCTATTCCTCCTGACTCTGATCAAGATCTTAATGAGTCCTTGCCACCACCACCTGCAGAACTATTATAACAACTTGCTTTTTGGCCAATCTCCCATCTATAAATGACTCCTTCATCTATAAATGACTTCTTCTTTTATTGTTGTTCATGTGATAAATGATATAAAATAAGCAGTGGCAGTCAGTTTTGATTTTTATTCAAACTACCTAAAATCTGTTTAAAGCCCATGTGCACAAGCAGAATTAAAAAAAAATGTTAACAGTGATATATTTACTAGCTATAGTACCTATCTTTAAAGCACAGTACATTTTACATATATGGATGGTGTATATATCAACAACCATTTTGGAAACAAGCAATCTACATATACTTATTACTACCCAATAAAATTTCCCCCGAAAAGCTGTATATAAACTTATCTTAAACACAGTTTTATTTTTCCACCTCAAAGTTTGGTATGGGGAGGAATAAGAGACTAAATATACACTCCAAGTCTTAAATTAATACCTCTTGCTAAATAAATATTCCAAATTTATGGGAATGTGATCTTAAAATGTATGTTTGAAGAAAGAGAAATTTCCCTTTTTGATCTCACTGACAATAGTAAACATATTAAAACATCAAACCAGTGGGCTGGGTTGGGGACATTTACTCTGAAAAAAGTATAAGCACACATCATAAAATGTTAACATTTCCTATCATGCTGGGAGAGCACAAATTTTCTAAAATTAGACTATTTAAAAAATTCCTTCTTTATATGCTTTAAGCACCCAAACAAAATGAAGTCTTATAAAGGAAGCAAGGAACTTTCTGTCATTATAAGTTTAAGCTTGTTCTTAAAGTTTTTTTTTTTTTTTTAAAGTCCTGGGGCTTGAACTTATGGCCTACACCTTAAGTCACTCAACCAGCCACTTTTTGTGAAGGTTGTTTTTGGAATAGGGTCTCACGAACTATTTGCCCAGGCTGGCTTCGAAGCGTGATCCTCCTATCTGTGCCTCCTGAGTACCTAAGATTATAGGCATGAGCCACTAAAATGACAATTTCCATAACTAAATTTTAAATTTCCATTAATCCATAATTTGACAACTGATACCAGAATAGGGCTGGAATTGACCTTTGTTAAAGTGGAGGCAGACAGTGGGCCTATACTTGTAGAGATGCCAGCCTTTATCTACAGAAGTGCTCCTTGCTTAACAAGTGCTCCTTGCTTAATATGCTCCTTGCATATTTTTCCTTCTTATTCCTACCTTAACTCCAGAAGAAAGAGTCAGTTAGAATGAAATGTGGTAACCATACTGGTGGATTAGCCTTGGAGAACCTCTCATAGTTAAGGGATTTTCAGAATGGAAAACAGTACGTATTTGTAGCACTAGTGTTCAAGAAACTAACAAAGCTTCATTTGTAAGAAATACCAGCAGGCTTTTGAACACTGGAACTTTACTTACAATGCTTGTTCATAAATCTTCCAAGCTATCCCTGGCAGTGAACATTTTTTATCTGCAGAAGCACTTCTTTGGGCTACTTATTTTTCCCAAATAAGCATGTTTATCATCATATAACATTATTTCTCTTCTGTCTTCCATGTTTAAAATATTTCTTTCACGTGCTTTTCAAACTTAGCACTTTCAGCAGTAATCAGGAGTTTGAGAATTTCTTGTTATTCTTTGTAATTCTAAGCATTTTAGTTAGGGTAAACAAAATGCCTTGAATCATCAAAACCCCTCTCATTTCATATATGAGTTATCTAAAGGGCTTGTTCCACATTTTTGCTCCTTCTTTCCTGACCTCTTGAAGGATAAAATAGGAGCTGATGGCTGGTCATACTCTTGTCTGATTTCTTCAAACACCACTGGCAGTTTTTCTTCTGTTTTTTTTGTACAACAGAAGAACAAATTACTGCCAGCAGCTGGATTGTTTTTTAATTCTCTGCAGGGGGGAAAATAACTCACATTTACTATATGCAATTTTTCCCTACTGAGGTCAGCAGAAGCTGAGTAGTCAAACAGCGGCAATCCATGCTTAATCGGCAGGAAGAAATGGAACTAATAAAAGAAATAAAGGAGAAAAGAAACTGCTGGAGCAAAGAAAAACCTAAAGAAAAGATGAAAGAATTAGGATCCAGAAGAGTGAGTTTATGTCAAGGATACACTAAAAGGACAAGGTACTTGGGAATAAAAGGTGGACCAAACTTCAGACCACATACCAGTGGTGCTCTTACCAGATCTGCATTAACCAGATTCAGAAACAACCCTGAAGACCATCTTAATTAAACTCCTTTGTTTGTTACCTGCTGAGAAAATAGCACTAGAGAAAGCAAGTGACTTGTTTAGAAATAGTACCAAAAACTGAATTTGCTTCCTGATTCCTGGTCTAATTAATACTCTTCACTGATAAAGAACCAAAAAGTGCCTATGCACTAAAACATACATATATCACACAAGTATTCTATCTGGTATGTAGGGCACACAATGAATCAGATGAGAGTGGCCGTTAATTATTACTATTTTAAATTCTGATAAAAAACAAAGTAGTGAAATATTTGGGCACCTGTACTTAAAACACTGTGGTATGGGTATATGATAAACAAACAGATCAATGAAAAGAAAAGAAAGTTTAGAAATACACTCAAATACCAAGTCAGTGGGAATAAGTGTTGGGACGAGTGGATAGACATTTGGAAAAAGATAAAATTGGATCCACATTTCACACTACATTAGAATAAACACCAAGTAGACCAGAAAGCTAAATATAGGGCATGAAATTATACATGAAATATAAGAAAATATGACTAAATTATTTTATAATCTGATAAGGGGAAAACATCTTCCTAGCTGAGAGTCAAAATCTAGACACAATAAAAAGAAAACTCAATCATATGAAACTTATAAAGGTTTTTTTTAAAAAAGCCCAAAATAACCCCCATAAAGTCAAAAGACAAATGCAAAATAGAAGAAAATAAGAAAATAACTGCAACTTTAATCAAGACAAAGTGCTAATACCTAAAATTTAACAGGCTCCTAAATGGGGGGGGGGTGACAACAATAAATATGTGCAAAACATAAAGAGGTCACAGAGTAAAAACTGTTAAGTTAAAACGAATGTGAAGATATAAAACCTCCCTTATACTTAGATGCATGAGAAATTACAGTGAGATGCTGCTTACCTATAGGACTGATATAAATCTAAAAGTTCAACTACAAAGTCTATGAGTCTATACAATCCTAGATACACTGCTAGTATTTACTGGACTGCAAAATAGTATAGCCTACAGACAATACTTTAGTAGTATCTCAGAAAATTTCAAAAGCATTCTTACCTTTTTACCCAGCAATACTACTTCTAAGAATCTTTTAAAAGACTTACTGGTAAAAATATGAAATTATCCAGACACAAGGATATTTGCTTAGCATTATTTGTAGTAACAAAAGTATGGAAATAATTCAGGTGCTTACCAACAAAGGATTGGTCAAATAAACCACAGTACATTTACAAAAGGAGTACTATGCTTTATGAAATGAGTAAGACAGATACCTATCTACTGAGATGGAGTGATCTTCAAGATACATTAAGAAAAAAAAAGAACAAGATATAGAATACATATAGTATACAATCTTTTATATAAAAAGGGGAATAAAAAATACAATACACATATATTTTTATATGCTTACAAAGAAAAATACTACTTAAGATACACTAAGAATTAATATAAATAGTTAGGAATAGGAAGAGAAAGAAAATAGGATGGAGGGACCAGAGAAACAAGATTTCTCTGAATATACATTGTTACGTAATTTTGAGCAATCCCTAAAACCTAAAAACTGAAAAAAATGCACTTCATTTTGTGTCAAGTAGGTGACAAACAGAAAAAGAATTATTTAGAATTGCATTAGAACACAGAGATAACAACTCCTAAAAACTGAAAAAAAAATGCACTTAATTTTATGTCAAGTAGGTGACAGAAAAGAATTATTTAGAATTGTGTTAGAACACAGAGCTAAATATTCTAATATCAGAGCTGCAAAGAAATCTTTAACTCTATTCAGTCGTCTGTAATCTATTTGTGGCAATACTGGTGTTATTTTGAAACTATTGTGAGATGATGTAAATAGGTAATTATGTTAATCTTTTTAGGGTTCATTTATAGGAAATAGGGGCAACAGATGAGCAAGTTAAATCTTTCCAAGGAAGCAAACAGATAAATTCAGAATGAGGGACATTCTAGAGAACATATGGAGAAAGGAAAAGGAAAAAAAAAAAAAGGAATAAGGAAGTGAGTAAAGACACTGATCCATTTGGATTTTGATATGATAATTTCTATTTTGTCAGTTCTTTCATAAAATAAAAATATTTCTTGAATATTTTATTGAGTACTCCTTGTTATTTCCAGCAGTAAATTCAATCTTAACAGCTAATTATATTACAGGTTGAACATCCTTAATCTGAAAATCTGAAATTGTATCAGCACTCAAAAAGTTTTGGATTTCAGATTTTCAGATAAGAGATGTCCAATTGGTAAAAATCTATGTACATATTCCAAAATCCAAAAACTCTGAAAACTGAAACATTTCTGATCGCAAGCATTTTGGATAAGGGATACTCAACCTGTATCAACAATAAACAGTACTTTAGTTCTTAATTATTCAAGACAATGTTATCAACAAGAAATGAAGGAAAACTGGAACTAGTGACTAAAATGGGATAACCACTGCCAAGCAGGTGGTTTGTACTATCTTTCACAATGCTGGGGTAATAGATCCTAGGGACACGATAGAATATGTTAATTAATGAATTAATGTTTATCTAGTTGCCCAAATATATGCAATTCTTGACCTTGGCAGACTTATCTAAAATAAAATTAATGTGTCTGAATAGTATCTAAGCTAAGTTGTAAGTCTCTATAATTTAATTTTTTTTTTGGTAATAACAAAATACAATTGTTTTATTTCATGAGAATTTCTAAAAGTATAAGAACAGATTACTGTAATTTAAATATAATGAAATGGTTCCCCTTTTGCTTTCTGAGAATTTCACAGCAATCTTTGAATAGTATGAAGCAATATGTTATGTCCCCAAACTTGAAATGAGAGATGCTGTCACTCTTTATTATTGTATTAGAATTTTACATATGCAGGAGAATCTAATCTTGATACAGACTAAACCCAAATTCATTCAAATCCACTAATGGGAATGGGCACCCCTACTTCCACACTGGTGTAACAAGGCTTCCTAAAATTAAAGGGAGAAATTTAAGCGTCCGGTAAATGGTCCTTACTCAGATTCTTTAAAGCGTAGTAGTGTACACATGAGCTGGTAGAACTCTTAAATGCCAAAACAACCCATTCTCTATTTTCATAACAATATTTCTGAAGGTAGTATTTTTAACACATTACTTTTAGGCACTATGATTGATGACTGGTTTCTGAAATCCACAGAAAGATTCTACAGTTCAAATGAACCCTCAAAGTAAAGTGGCAATATAGCACCTAATCAATAATAAATATCTAATGTCACAGACTTTAAAAATGTAGACACTTTTCAAGGATCATTAGTTTTATATAAAAGGTGACTCTTGAATATAGTTTCTTTTCTAAGAAAATAAACTACATATTTTAATACAACAAATTCCATTGGGGATACTATTCAAATATTGGTAAATGAAATTTGAGAAAAATTAAGGGATTTAGTAATTAACACAAAGGGATTCTACATACATGTCATGTGGTAGTAATTGCTGGTTTTCAAATGGTGACAGTTTGATAATAAATACACACACCATAACCATGTTTTTTTCCTAAGGTAAATTGGCCATTCTAGAAATTGGACTTGAGTTTTAATAGATTATTTACATAAACATTCTACTAAAAAGTGAGTTAAAGGCTATTATAAATCTGATCTTGTTTTATAAAATTCATGACTAAGGTTTTCTCTTTTATGTATATTATTTCATGTAACTTTAAATTGATCTTTCCTCAAAAAGATAAATATTTAATACTGAAGAAATCACCTGAAATTGATACTGTTAATTCTAAAATATAAAAATCAAATAAAGATCATTCAATGCCAAAAATATTTCTGGAGAAAACAATATACATATCTACATACTATCTAGAGTAAATATGATGAAGAAAAAAATCCTTTCAATTCTAAATACATAAACAATAAAGCATGTTAATTTCACCATTGGAATTGATGGTTAAAATCTGGTTTTTTGGTTCTTTTTTTTTTTTTAATGGTGGTACTGTTCTTTGTGCTTACTTGGCAGGCGCTCTACCATGTGAGCAATACATTCAAGCCCTTTTTGCTCTGATTAGGGTCTTGTTTTTTTGCCTATGCTGGCCTGGACCATGGTTCTCCTATTTTAAGCTTCTCACAATCATTGTGATGACAGGTGCATGCCACCTTGCCCAGTTATTTTCTGTTGAGATAAGATCTTGCAAAATTTCCTTCCTGGGTTGGCCTCGAACCACAATTCTCCCAATCTCAGCCTCCCGAATAGCTTGGTATGACAGGTGTGCACCATTGCAACCAGCAATTGGTTGAGATGGGGTGGTTGCCTAGGCTGGCCTCGAATTGCAATCCTTCTGATCTGAGTCTCCCAAGTAGCTAGGATTATAGGCGTGAGCCACCAGTGCCCACCAAGGTGCTCATTTAAATGTAGCCTATCTTGAGTTTGATCCACATGACTGCAAAAAAATAAAATAAATTACAGCCTAACCTATGTGTAACCTTGGTCAAATGATTTTTTGCATCCTGAAAATAAAGCAGAATTATTATAATTATTTTTGTGCCTCCTAAAAGGAAAATGAAACATTTAAGTGGTTGGTAAGTTTGAAAGCTAATTAAATATAATAATCTCTAGGGTAGGGGAAGAAATAAAAACCAAGGAGATTGTATTGTGACATTTAAAAAGGTGAACATAAAAAAGCAAGTATTAAAAACAGTTAAATTTCTATCTTAGAAATCCATCCATGAGGAAGGCCAAATCCATTTTTAACATGTAAAAAGTATGTAGAGGCATTAAAAAGAATCATTGATTCTTAATGAGGAAAATATTAAAATGTAGAACCCGAGCTCAGAAAAATATAGGAAGATGTAAAGGCCAGCTCATATGTACATGAGGTATTCCATCCCACAGCAAATCTGAGAAACAGAGGTACATTTGAGTCTGTAAGTTAAAAAAAAAAATTGTCCATTTTGTTGCGTGTGCACCTCTTGCAATAAATTTGAGTCAGCACCAATGACAGCTCTGCAGTCCTCCTATGTGGTACTGATCAGGTGGTTGCAGAGCTTCAGCTCACAGCAACACAATGCAGCTGAGCAGGCAAGCACAGCCCCAGCCAGAAACCATTCCGACTCTCCAGAACAAGACGACCTTTAAGCTTCAAGTTTCCTGGAGAAAATGAGATGCTGATGGTGAAGACGACACTATGGTAAGCTGTTACTTAAATCAGTAAAAGACCGATTTGGAATTTTTTCCCTTTTTCTTTTCTTAAAGAAAGAGACAACGTTAGGATTGAATATGTATTCAATAGCAAGTGCATGCACCAAAAATTGCTGCAGTGATAGTTGAGGGTTTTCTTTTTAATGTTTGCTCACTTTACAAACATACACATTGTTTTTTTCTTTATCAGTGATACTGAAATCTACATAAAAATCACTTTATTATGAGGTTTAAAGGTACAGTGTTGGTCTGGATTTTTCAAGGGCCTTTAAATGTTTTTACAAGGATATATTTATGCTAAAAAAGGTGAAATTTCAAAGAATTGTTTTAAATCTAAATAAAATCTCATCCTACACATACATACACACAAAGTCTTAAATACTGCAGATATTAAAAAAAAAAAGCAGACACGACAGCCATTTTTTCCCATCTGAGTAAAAAAAGCATCTTGTCAAAAATAGTAATAGCTAAAGAATACAACTCTTAACGTGTGGGGAAAAATGCCATTTGATCATGTTAAATCTCAGAGAAGATGCTTAAGAGATACAATGAAAGAAGGGAGAAAATGAAGAAAAAAATGCAGAAGAGAATAGGGGAAGAGTTTCTACCACATAGTCCCAATTGAAGGATTAGGCATTTGGACTATAAATGAAGGGGAGCTTTGTTAGTTTAATCACTGGAACAATTATAAAAGGACTCAACAACAAGGAGGTTTATTGAAATTTTTGCCTAATGCTAACTGACCCATGCAGATGCCTAAATTGTATTTGCATATTAAAAGAAGGGTGTATCTGTTTGTTTCCAGGCTTTGATGGAATATCAGATATTGAAAATGTCTCCCTGCCTGTTCATCCTTCTGTTTCTCACACCTGGTATTTTATGCATTTGTCCTCTCCAATGTATCTGCACAGAGAGGCACAGGCATGTGGACTGTTCAGGCAGAAACTTGACTACATTACCACCTGGACTGCAAGAAAATATTATACATTTAAATCTGTCTTATAACCACTTTACTGATCTGCATAACCAATTAACCCAATATACCAATCTGAGAACCCTGGACATTTCAAACAACAGGCTCGAAAGTCTGCCTGCTCAGTTACCTCGATCTCTCTGGAACATGTCTGCTGCTAACAACAACATTAAACTTCTTGACAAATCTGATACTGCTTATCAGTGGA